GGCGCTCGTACCCCATTCCTCCCTCACCTCCTTCCACTTACCCCTTCCTGCCCTGCTGGCAGTGGGGACAGATACCCCCCCACACACTGAGCCAAAGGCCTAGTACCCACTAGTGACAGCTGTGACTGCTCCCCATGAAACTGTGTCCCCTCAACCTGTGTGACAGCTGGACTAACCTCCCCCACAGAGCCCATGCCCTGACAAGAGGGACTGGCTCCCCCAGCCCACATACACACACCAAGCCTGGGCTCCCTATCCCTTTGATTGCAGGAACCTACACACACCATGGCCAAACCTTCCAACCTCTAGGTAACAGTGGGGACTACCCACCCAGCTGAAACTGTTCCCTCAAAACTCATCTGGGGCTTCTCCAAAGTGCACCCCACTAAACCAGTGGCTTCCTCCCATCAGTTACAGCGTGGTCCTTGAGACTAGAATTAAGACCTGGGGCTCTTTCACCCCACTTCAGCACCACATTTGTTATTTCCTCCCTCTCACTATCGACTAAGCGTAGAATCTGTGCCTGCATCAGTCCCTTCAGTGAGAGCTAAGGTTGTGCTCCCCTCTCTCGCACTGAATATACGCTCTCCCATCCTCTCAGTGACAACTGGGGCTGGGTTCTCACATCCCCTCTGAGAGTGATACCTGAAGCTGTGTCTCCCACCCCCACAATGAGGCTATGTCTACACTCAGGGCTTCTTGCACGAGTAATATTCAAATGAGGCTAACCGTGGAATATCGCTGAGCCTCGTTTGCATACCTAATAAGCCACCATTTTTTTCAGAAGAGGCTCTTGCGCAAGAAGGAGCGTCTACACTGCCCTCTTGTGCAATGCCATTACAACTATTACTTGAGAGGAAGAACGGCATTGTGCAAGTGGGTTTTTCTTGCGCAAGAAGGGGCAGTGTAGATGCTCCTTCTTGCGCAAGAGCCTCTTCTGAAAAAAATGGTGGCTTATTGGGTATGCAAATGAGGCTCAGTGATATTCCACGCTTAGCCTCATTTGCATATTACTCGTGCAAGAAGCCGCGAGTGTAGACATAGCCTGAGTATTTGCTTTCCCCAATACCTCAGTAAGAGCCAGGACTACATGCCCTCTTTGAGAAGAGTCTGTACAACTACCACCTCCTCAATGAGATCACCCTCTCCACCCTCAGAACTGGCTGCGTGCCCTGTCCTTTACAATGAATGCCCAACTCCTGCTCCACTTGCTAAGCACCATATCTGTGCCATCACTTGCTTCCCACCTAGTCAGTAACTCATGGGGCTGCTCAATTTGACTGTAGGGACTGTACAATTTGAGGCCAGGGATCTCTAGAATGCCTTACATGATTTATATTATGGAACAATAAAAATTAATAGGTAATCTTACTAATTAACAGAAAAACAGTGCTAGGATAACATTAACATAAGTTTTTGATAATGAAGTCATTGGGATAGTAGTGATGTTTCCAAATATTGTGAGATTTTAATCTTGTTGAAGTACAGCGAAATCCTTTAGTGCCAGAGGGAAAGACTTTAACTACCTTAAAATTAGCTTCAGAAGAGTGTAAACCAAGCTAGAAAGGCAACTTTTCTGAGTACATGCCAGAATTGTTTAGAGAATGCTAGACTATCAGTGAAGAAGCCAATATGAGTTATTAAAAGAGGTTCTTTGTGCCCATACAAATTACATGGGTGGAGCTCTGCCTATGAGGGCATCCCACTCCAAGTATCAGAAACTTTTTGCATCCAGAAATCACATTGTGAAATTCCACAAACTTCTGTATACAGGCAGTCCCTGACTTACGCGGATCCGACTTATGTCGGATCCGCAGTTACGAACGGGGCTTCCCCGGAGGACACGGACTGTGGGACCTCGCGGTCCTGTCGCCCGTGTACTCCGGGGCTTTCTCCGCGTCTCCCTGGTCTGCAGACCAGGAAGACGCGGAGCAAAGCC